CCTCAGAAAGTTCTTTACTTTCATACAAAAACAGGGGATGCGTTCCACCAGCATTATCAAAACCGCATAAATTCAGATACTCCGCGTGAAAAATTCTAAAAATCCGCATAAAGAAATCTAGTGAGCCAATATCAAGCAAAAAAAAATATATATATTTCTTCACTTCAACGCTTATTATTCCATGAAAAACTGGACATTAATGAAATAAGTAAATAAAATTTTATTTGTATTTTAACAAAAAAAAAAAAAATACCACAATAAATACATGAATTATGTAAAAAACAAAGAAAAATTTTTTATCAGAAGCATTGGGCCGAATGAATAAAAACAAACCGATTTTTTTTTCTAAATCGCATACCTTTTTTTCAATTGTGTTTGAATAAATCGAGTAAAGTGTAAGAAATTTAAGAAAAAGCAATTGCTTATTTTTTATTCATACGGCCCGGCCCATTGTCTCTTACAACCTCTCAAAAAAGCAAAATCGCTACACCGAACAAATGGTTTGAAAACCCGCATAAATTCCAAACCGCGTACAAAAACCGCATAAAAAGAGACCTAAGTGTACACACACATTCAGCAGCAACGGCAAAATAGCTTCATCGAGCCAAAGTGATGGCTGTTCAATTATTTCGCACAAGTCCTGTCGCCCGTCAAATTACAAGAAAACAAACACAGTTTAACAATGTAACAAACCAATTACAGCAGTGTCCTCTAGAATAAATTCTAAGACTATATATGTTACATAAATATATTTTTTTAGTTATTATTGATTTCCATGCGGAAAGGCTTACAAAAAATTCAACTACTTTTTGCGCGATTTTGATTTTTTGAGTTATGTATTACTTTCTTTTAACAGTATAACATAAAAATCAGTTGAAACTTTTGTTATTATTTGGGGGTAATAAATTTTTATATCAATAGCACATAGATACACTCATGGCAAAAAGCATTGGTACAAAGTTTTTCAAAATATATGAAACAATTTGAATTTTTTGGTGCAAAACTCAATAAATCGTCATGCAAATTTTAAATTTTTTAATCTGTTTTTTTTAGGCTTAGAAGTTTTAGTAAGGAATTTCCACCATTTTTCCATGGGAAAAAATGCTAAAAATTAACGGTAAGTCCCAGCTTCTTCAAAATTGCACTTTATTATTATTATTTTACATTATATAAAGTTGAAAAATTGCATCAAAATTTTCCTGACATTTGCACAAAGAAATTAGAAATTATGGTTTTTATTGTAGTACGAATCATATCTTTATAAAAAGCTTGCGGAAAAAATAAAAATTGTGGTATATGTATGTTGTGAAAAATTCTCTGTACAAAATGTTTTGTCGTGAGTTTATCTACTATTTTTTGTTTTTTTTTTTGGGAAAGACTGTTTTATAGACTTTAGCCGGAATCGAACAAGCGTCGCGAATGTACAAAAAAGAAGACAAATCAAATTAATAGTGGTATTACACTCAAAATAGTAGATATTACTGAGATAAGACGAGATTTTTCCCATAGATTTTTAATTCTTACAATGAGAGTGTTCCGGGCTTGAATCGATTAATTACCAATCGAGTAAAAGTGCATACCGTCGTAAGTTGCCTGATATGTTGAATTCCTTTTTATGATGATTAAGTTATGATTCTTGATACTTGAAGGTAAATTCGTAGTAAAATTCATGACCAGTCGAAAATATTTAGGAACATAATGGCAAAGTTGAATCCCAAGGAAAGTGTGAGTCACACTAAAGTTGATGTTTAAAACATCGTTGAAATTGACATCAATCAATGTATCGATAATTCAGCGATTTTTGGAAATCGTAAACATCGATGGCAAACATCGAATTTTGAACCGATATTATCGATATCTCAAAAATATTCCTTATACCCATTGGTATAGTCATGCATGCATGCGCCTGGAGTGTGCGAAGCGTTAATGGGGAAGGCGCCTCTCCTGGCTTGGCTGGTTGACGAGGACAAAAGTTGACATCACTTAAACTTATAAATGAAATGTAAATGCCAACGACATGAAGTAGTAAATATACATTTTTTCATTCGTAAGTGACGTGTTTACGTTTTTTAAAATATATTATTAAAAGAAAAAATTTAATAAAACCAATGCGGTAAAACAAGAAAATCCAATCCAGGGCCCGCTGCGCTAATCGGTGGAGCATTCGAGTCTTCAAATGATGAGTTCTCCTTATCCTTTCTTAGTTTAACATTCAATTAAAAATGTATTAAATTTTTTTCAGAAAAGTTCATCAATGAGAATGGCGGCGATAAAGCGGAATATACATATAGCTGCATCGATGTCGTTTTTCCAAATTGCCAATAACCGCATGTAATTAAAAGCACGCAACAAGATGTAATAATTAACCTTTTTATGTTTAATTTTTGTGTGTTATTGTGAATTTGTATGCTAAAATGTCTATTCCCTATTTATATTTTCGCGACTGTAGATGAGTCCGCCGAAAATTCGCATTTCGTTTAGTTTCTAGATGTTAAGCAATCTATGTATGAGTTTTTAATGAAATATCTTTAAATAAAGTGTTATAAAAATTTTTATAAAAAGCTTTCTTTTGAAAGTTTTTAGTAAGTTTATATTCATACGCTTATAAACAACTTTTTTTGAACCTTTATTATAAGTTTACACTTTTAGGCTTTTAAAAAGCTTTCTTTTGATCATTTATTACAAGTTTATATTTCTACGCTTATAACCAATGTTCCTTTTCGATTATATTACGCTTACTTTCAAGCGTTTTATAAACAAAAAAAAACAACGTTTTGTAAGCTTAATGTTTATAATTGAAAACTTAAAAAAAAAAACTTTCTTTAAGTTTATTTTGCTTGTTGGGTTGAGATTAAAAATGAGAATGTGTGTGTGTGTGTGAGCTTGAGTTCGAATTTTAAAATTATATTGCTGGCAAATGTCAGACTGTCTCTCAATAATTTTACCTTGTAATGTTTTTATCATTTGGTAAAAACACTGCTTTATCAATTAGGAGAAAATTGTTGTTGTCACAATGCAACGAATGTTCTTTATTTATGTGCATTCTTTTATTTTAGCTAGCTGTATAAATTTCATTAATAAATAAAGGTTTTTATAATTAAGATTGAAGTTAATTTAGCCAGTGCATAGCAAAGCATAGCAAAGGTTTCAAAGTAGCCCTCGGTGCGAACTCGGTTGGACGCCACTGTTTTTGGAGATTGGCAATACAATGATACGGCTAGTGCTTTTCGGGGGATTTTCGAAATTATTAAAGATTTTTTTACGGATGTTTCCGATTGTTTTAGCTACTTTACTTTTCGCCATTTTTTTTTTTTTTTTACTTTGATGCTTTTTTGGGACTTTTCCTTAATTTTTGAGGACTTTTCGGTGTTCTTTATGTTATATTTTTCAGGATTACAGGATTATTTCGGGATTTTTGCAACTATTTTGTTCTCATTACATTGTTTGAGATGCTGATCGGTCGAGAATCGAGCTTTGGTCTACCGAGTGTTGGGGCATTACGCACCTTTGACCACTCGCCTACGGTGTCCACCGTTTCTATATATTATCGATTATCGCTATTTACTGGGTTAAGTGTTAAGAAAACTATTTTGGTTAACTTACCATAATCAGTTGGCATGGCGCACAGCGCTTGATGATGATGTGGATGCTGAGGGCAAATGCTTTCGGTTGGATGCGGCGGCAAGTAATACTCCGTTGGATAGAAATCTCCGGTATACTGAATATATAGCTGGCTGGACGCCGACGATGGCGGTGCGGAGGCAACGATCGTATTGCCGCTACTACTGGCAGCACTGCCTGAGCCAGTGCTCAACGATACTCCAGGAGCATTGCCGCTGCTTGAGTTGCCAACTCCTCCTGCGCCGCCGTCGTTAGCACTGCATGCACTGGCGTGAGCGGCGGTATCGATCAAAAGTTGTTGGGAATGTTGAGACGTTTGTGACTGCTGCACTGCTGCACTCAACACAGCTGTTTGTGCCTGCACTGGAACCTGCGGAGCTTGTACGCCCGTTAGAGTGCACTGTTGCGTTGGGTGTGACTGCGTTTGTGGCGATTGTACGTGTGGGCTGTGTGGATGATGCAAGTGCTGCGGTGGAGGATGGCCAATTCCGGCTGCGGCTGCCAGTTGCTGATGCATAGCTGCAACTAGGGCCATCTGTTGTTGATGCTGCTGTGGATGGTGAACAGCGCAAACGGGTTGCACCAGCTGAGTGCTGCCCTGTGGTGGTGTTGCTGCCTGTTGCAGGAGCGGTGGCGAAGCTGGCAGTGACGATGTCGTCGGGCCCTCCGTTGGCGATTGTTGTTGTTGCTGCTGGTGGTGAATACCCAAACCGCTCGAATTTGTCTGCAATGACGTCTGATGCTGAACATTGTGTCCATGCAGATGTTGATGCTGATGCTGATGCGGCGATGCCACTGCTGCTCCATGTGCGTACTGCGGTGGCTGCTGCTGGGCTACTTGCAGCTGAGGGGCTTTTTGCTGCTGCTGCTGCTGCGGCTGCTTTGATACAACCATAACTATGTTGGTTGGAGGTCGCTGCTGCTGTTGCTGTTGTTGTCGTTGGCTTTGATTTGAGTTTGGGTTAAGGTGTTGTTGTTGTTGTTGATGATGCAAATGTTGTTGAACTTGATGCTGCAGCTGCAGCTGATGCTTATGTTGATGCTGGTGTGGTTCAAAGGAGGATGCGTTGCTGTTCAAACTGGAAGTCGATGAAGAAGGGGAGGAAAAGCTATTGGTGAAGTTGCCACTAGCAGAATTTTGGGCGCCATTGCTATTGTTGTTGTTGTTGTTGTTATTGCCGGCATAGTATGTTTGAAGGAGTTGTGGCGGGTGAAGTTCCTGTGCAGTCGAAGCGTTCAAGCGAACCATGTCAACGGAAATATTAAAGGCCGCGGCGGCGTTGTCACACAAATGTAATGTGACGGTTTATATTGCGGGGTTTGAATGTTTTATTATTATTACTTATAAAACACATTTATTTACAAAAATGTTCCCGTTAATCTGCACATTGAGTTTTGATTTGGTATTTTGGTGGTCTCCACTTTCTCTCGTTTATTTGCTTACTTCATTAGTATTTGTTTAATAAAAAAAATATAGTCAGTTAAACTTCTAGGGCAGTTTTCGTTTGAATGCATTTATATAAAGAACACCTGGAAAATTTCGTTAATAGCAGTCATTTGTAAAAAAATATCCGCTATTTTTATGTATGTATATTAACTTAAGGCCAAACTGCACGGAACAATTGCTTACTCTGAACTGTGGAGTAAGTGGGTGGAGTTCTCAATTATTTGTGAGCCAGATCCGTCAATTTGTAGTATTTTAGTTTGGTTTTCCACCAATCGAGAGGGTTTTAATCGAGATAGGCTCGTTTTTCTTTAATATAGGCCTTGTATTCAGCTTTAATTAGACATTTTTTAATGTCATCGAGCCTTCGCTTTTGCTCGAGGAATATAAAATTATTTCAAGGTTGGCAATAAGACTTTTAACAGAACTTGTTGAGCTTCGCATTCGCAAAACATTCCCAT